ACTGTGGAGAGTTTCAATGAAACGTCTCCACACTGCAGTTTGTTGACAGAGAGTGATGTTCTTCCTGTGTACAAAGGATTCTGCTCAGTCAGAAGCTCCACACCCTCTCGCCTCACATAGACAGATTTAGGTTTGAGGTCAGTTCTGGACCAATCCACAGTCAGGTCAACAGCATCCACAGCAGGTTCCAGGTGGCATGGCAAAATGATGTCATCACCAATCATGGCCACTACTGGCTGAGTTGGACCAATCATTTGATGCTGACCTAACAAATTTAGAGACACATACAGTTCAGCAGTTTTGTAATTGTGAAGATCAGTCTGAGCAAACTGTGTAATTGATTTATTTAACTACATCAACATAAACTGGTGCTGTTACAGTGTGTGTTTTCATCATCTGTGGAAGACTACAGGTAAGCACTTTAAATTGTGGATTTTATAAATGTTTGTGTGCAACTTACCACCACAAGTTTGTGTTAGAAAAAGGAGGACGGCAACAACATGATGCAAAACCAAGAGATGTTTATTCTTCATAGGACTCATTCTAGATGTCTGCAACAAAAAAGGGGGGCATAGCAACACACACTTTTTATATTAAGCCATTCTCTGATAGAAAAAAATGAAACCGTGAGAGACTGATTTGTAGACTGTCACGGTAATATCACATTTGAAAAAAAGTATTTAATTATGTTAAATTTATTTTTAATCATTTGGAAATGTGCTCCTTTCCAGGAGTAACAGTAACAAGAGAGATCAAGAACATTGCAGGAAATCTGGACATTCAATTGAAAGACAAACTGGGAATTGTTGACTTTTTTTTCTTATCTCTTGATGAGAGCTACTATGTCATCTGGACACAGCCCAGTTACTCATCTTTGTGAAGTCATTATACTACAAGCAAAATAACAAAAGCATTTTTTACTAAATCAAAGGTCTCCCTTTTTTTCTCCTTTGTGCAATATTTTAGCAGATGTGCAATTTTCATAGCCCTTCTACCCTTATTTATTTATTATTTATTATATTTGAGTGTACATGGTGTTTATGTATTTCTTTCTTCTTCTTTTGTATATTGTCTTTTATTATCAAACCCTGTGGTCTTGTTACATAATTTAATAGTAACTGCTTATAAAGAGATCAAAATAATAGAGCAATGAAAGTTGAGAGACAAGAGACACAAGTAACATTGAGTTCAGTATATCCATGAGGTCCTCCTCAACCAATAAGCTGTGTCTGTGCATAGGTCATGGTTTCTTTTGTCCTGTTTGCAATTAATAGACTTACTGTCTATAAAATGCTGATAGAAGATATGGATTTTATTTCAAATTGTAAACTCTCGAAGTAGCAACTAATAACAGCATGTAATTAAAAGTACACATTTTAAATATTTATGAATGTACAAGTATCCAGAAATAATAATTATGTTACTTTCGCTCCTTGA